CTACTCTGGAAATGATGATGCATACAATGGACTCCGGACTAGGTGCGTTCATCTAAGTCTTCCTACCAATCTGACCGAGTTGCGAAAACAAAGTTACTTATTTTTAGTATTTGAGTAGAGTTTCGAAACGGCCAGCAACTGCAGTCCACTTTCGCCGGGATGAGAACAACTTTTGGGAAAGCAAGGCAATGTGAAATTCAATGGAAACTTGTGGGAAAATTCTACTTACACGAAATAGGGTGAATTCATATCATATCTCTCTCGTATGCCATCAATGCTCACAACCATAAACGAAAAAATTATACATCGATGTGGATATTGAATGATTAGATTTGCTGCTTTTGATAGTAATATTGTTATGTTATATTCAATCATATAGTTTAACCTGAATTACAGGCGTACAGGCGTACATTACATCATCTCACTCAGAGTTAGTGTCGGGCTTACGCAATTTCGGTCATTCTTTTCTTTGCGTCATTAAACCTCAATTACTCGGTGTTGCCTACTAGAATTTACACGTACATTCATTTTGACACATTCACATGCACACATACACACACACACACACACACACGCAAACTAACCAAATCCCTCTGCAGCTATCTATATTTGTATATTTTCATTTTTGGTTTATGAATATACTAGCATATATGATATGTCTGGATAGTCTTCTTGACTTTCCCAACTAATTGTAGGTATGAGTATACATTTTATTTCAATATCTAAATTAAGTAATATTGATCGAGGTATCCCTTTTGCCTCCAAAACCCTTTCCACTGCCCTCCTACCCTCTTCGAAACTGCCTCACTCATCCTATCGTTCGTATTATGGCCTCCACAACTCATCTTGGCGCCTCAGACCGCATCCTTTTGGACATACCTTGCCGGGTCTGCAAGGACCACTCATCGGGCAAGCATTACGGCATCTACGCTTGCGACGGGTAAGTGCCGGACACACGGTGTCTCTCAGAACAGTTTCTCTCTTCTCTTTTCTTCAATTGGGAGTGTCGGCGAATAGGGGTCGAGAAGAGGCAACCTGCAGACCGTTTCGTGATGCCGACCTTCACACTCTTGTCTGGAAGAGGTTGCTTGGCCTGCCTCACCAGAAGGCGACAGTAAAGTATGAAGAGAAGATGGGTCTCGAAGATTCCCTTAAATTTTTCGTCTATAAGTAGTCTCGAAATGACCAGCATGTCAGTTATATTGGCTAGTTGCATTTTCCCACAATCTGATGAGTATTTGCCCAAAATTTGTTCTCATCCCAGCTGAAGTGGACCCTGCCCAGATCTTATCAACACCTTTAGCGGGACTCGAACCAAGACGATGCAGTGTGTAATCTCGACGCATTAGCCACTCCACCACACACTGTCACGAGTGCTTGTGGGTCATAGAAGAGATATGAATTGCAATAAACGCCATACATCATTCTTTGGTAGGAAAATCTACTACATTACTTATTTTTAGTTTATCAGTAGAGTTTCGAGACAAGCCTACCATAGAATATATGATATGGCAAAATGCCTGGCCTTCCGTGAAATTCATATCTGACCTCTGACCCAAGGGAACTCGGATCAAAGTGGAGCAGTTGTTAGCGTTTCGAGATTAAACGCTGCACAGTCATGCATCGAGTCCCGCTCTACTCACCAGATTGTGGGAAAATTCAACTTTTTTTTCGTAAGTGAGTAGGTTTTCGAGACGACCAGCAAATCATATATATGAATTAAATTCACACAATTTGATTTGAGGTGATTAAGCACTGGTAGAAGAATTTTCCCGCAATGCTGTGAGTAGAACTGACGTTTCCAATGAATCTCACATAGCCTTGCTTTCGCAAAATGTGTTCTCATCTATTCAACTTACAGCTCTTCATCACCTTAAACGAAACAGGGTGAACACATCTGATAGACCTTTACGCTTTGTATGAAAGAGCGGATGAAAAAGATTTGTAAATTACCCTCCCCCCGGACATCGGAGGAGTGTGATTTTGCGAAGAAGACCTCGGCTCATCGTCCTGCCACCCCAATTCATCCTTGCCCATCTTTCGTCCGTCGTGTTGCCGACATCGTCAGACCAAGAGAGCACAATTTACACACAAACATGAAACCAAAAATGGGTGGCCGGCTGAAATCTATTTGCTTTTTATATCCAACTTTGCGAGCTTCACAAGGCATTCCACGATTTGCTTGGCTACTTTCTGCTTGTCTTACATTCATGTGGAAAAGTAAAGTTAAGACAGGACCTCGTTTTTGCAATTGGTTCGTGTTGTTAGTGCGACTTAATTGGACGCACCTTGTCCAAAGTCCTCTGCTCTCGTGGTTATCATAATTCCCAACGTCGGAGCGTGGACGTCTGTGAATGTACGAAGTCGGGAAGTATGATACTTACGAGAGCAGACGACTTTGAACAGGATGCGTCCAACCAAGTCGCCCTGGCAACATGACCAAGTTGCGAAAACTAGGTCAGCCCATTCATATACATCGAAAGGAGACAGCGACCATGCCGAGGCTATAATCCTGTAATGCTGAGGCTTGTTTTAACGTCATGGCAGCATGAAGGACAAGAAAAAAGTAGTCAACCAAATCATGGAATGCCTCTTGAAGATTGAAAATTGAGGTCAAGAAAGTAAAAAGTGTTTCGGGCTGCCAGCTTTCTTAGTTTTGTGTTCTTTTTTTGTGATTGGTTTCTGGCTCGGATGATGTTCGCCACGTGACGGACGAAAGTTCACCACAAAGTCAACGGTGAGCCGAGGTCTTCTTCACACAAACCAACCTTTGAAGTTGTTGTCATCTCATTTTGCCGGTAGCGTCTAGTCGATGTGGACTATCTTCATTCCAAATAAAAATGTACAGACACATTGGATCGATATCACCAGAGCCAAATTGCATCATAACAACAACCTCGAGGTTGAAAGAATTCAAGAAAATTGACTGAATAGACTTTCTCAGCTGTCTAAACTCATTAAATAATATTTTTCGATTTAGTTCCATTAGAAATCATCATTCTCAGAAAGCTAATTGAACCAACCAACCGAGCCTACCGCATTGCATAACTACATAATATATGTCCTTAGATTATTTCTAGATAAAAAAGTAGAGCTACATACACTTTTATGATATAAAGATGGAAATTCTCTTCTGTTCAGATTACGCAAAAGACTTATTGTGGTCAGCATGCCAGCAAATGCATACAAAGGCACGCACAAGCCAATCTGCCCATCAACATAGAAAGATATAGTAATTGAATAACCAAATATTTTTATACTAAATAAGAATATCGTGAATAAGAACTATAGTCATCTTATATAAAAGCTGTATTTACCCGATTTCGTTTGAGTTGATAAATGACTGGTAGTTGAATTTTCCCACATTTCCATTTTATTTCACATAGCCTTGCCTCCCAAAAGGTATGTTTATCCAGGCACAATGCGACTAAAGTTTTAACCTCACCTCAACTGGTCCCATTAGCATCCCCAGGGGATTATAACCGGATTTGTGGTAGTGCAGTGTATAATATTCACATTTTTACCACTACGCCACATTGCGTGGGCAGTTTTACGAGAGCCAGTCATTTTCCGATATTACATTCTGTGAAGCAAATTTTCCGTTGTAATGGCATTCGAATACATTATTTATTTTTCGTTTTTATAAGTCGAAACCATCGGTAAATCTTATATGAGGGCTGTATTCACCCTATTTAATTCGAGGTACACATCAATATAAACCGATATCATAGTTAAGCAAACAATAAGAAGATACTGAATAAGTTGTTTTCCCATCCCAGCTGGGCTATAGATTTGATTCGATTGTGTCATATGAAAACCCCAGACTAAATTTCGAGCAGGGGTCGTTTGCGTCGCTTAGCCACACTTTTGCTAGTCGAAGTTACTTTTGAGTAGGCCTCAAGCATTCTTTGAAAATGGCAGTAATTCTTGCAGTAGCAATATTTTACCCATTGGAACTGTAT